TACACTCTCATGACATGGAGCTCCAAACACCTAGATTACTTCATTGTCTTTTTTATTCTCCATCAGAGAAAGAGGGGGCCTTTGTATAAATTTAATGAAAATCCAAGAACATAAATGTCTAAATGTCATTTTCAAGGCAAACCTGCTAACTGAACATTTTATAGAACCAGACCCATCAAAATGTTGTATTGTTTAAATCGATCACAGGCACAGCAAATGTTTAAATAGAATTATGGTTAATTTATAGTGATTTTCTTGATTCATTAAGGCACTTCGAAATCAACTTTATGGACTAATATTTTTATCAAATTTTAATGCTCACACGATCAATGTTATTTGGGATTTAAGAGATACATATGATAGAGAAATAATTTGAAGATTATTACATAATAAAAATTATCTGTACTTAAAAGTCTAAAAGTATTTTAAATGTAGATTTTACTGATATCTGTGAGACAAAAGGAGAGACACGGTGTTGAGGTTACATCAAAGGCTGGAGCAATGGGCATGCTCAAACAAAGCAGCACTACTGGCTGCTCACCGACACTGCAGAAATGATCTATGATTGTGATTAATTTCTTTTGAAATTTTGATCAAAATTGATCTGTTCAATTTTCTGCACTGGTTCTGTAAGTCAAATCTTACTGTGAAATTACATAAATCAATGTAGCCAGTACTTCTGTGAAAATGGGGCCGGGAGGTGGATATAGAAGTAATTTCTGACTTGTCAGTGACAGATGGTAGTTCTGATCTCATAACCATAGGAAGGAAAAGGTCTTACCGTAGCTGTCGTAGGCATCCTCATTTACTCCATGACCGTAGTCATAGTATTCAGGCACACTGCAACAGATTTAGACAGGAATCAATGATTCTGTAAGCAGAAGAATCAAAACTAGAACTTCACAAGAAATTCAAAGCCAAACGTGTGCTAAGGTAATATCCTGGTAACCTCCAGCCATAAAACACCAACCTAAAAAAAAAATACTCAGTGAGAAAAATAAAGCTATTAACTAGAAGTGCTCTGATCATATTTATCACCTATCTACCTTTCTATCTATCTATCTATCTATCTATCTATCTATCTATCTATCTATCTATCTATCTATCTATCTATCCATCTATATCTTCTTCATCATCATCATCTAACAATCATCTATCTATCATCTACCTATCCAATATATTTTGGTGCTGTTTTAGTTGGTCTTCACCTCCATCTTCCTATTTAATAAATTAAATTTCCCCTCAAACACAAGTCTAAGACTTCAAAAGTTGATAAGAAGAAGGATATAGAGTCTATTTTGAAGAAAACATTGCCATACAAATTGATGATCTGATATGTGTCCTTTACTACTGGCAACATTAAAAATATACATCTTTTCTAGTCTATAGACTTGTTAAATATTTGAGCTATTTATTTCCACTCAGTATTTCCACATTGAATAGCTATGAAAGTGGCACTTGTGTTGTTTCTTTTCAAAGGATCACAGAGTCGCCCCCCCCCCCAAATTGTTTCTTTCTTGGTCCTGCAGCATCACTGCTTCCCTCTTACAGACCTCATTCCAATTAGCATCCATCTTTCGCAGTGACTAGCCCCCTCTATGTGAGCTTCCACAGCAACACTTCCTGAAGGGAAGGCTGTACTCATTCTTTCCACCCACAATCCCTTGCTTCCTTTTGATGACACCAGGCTGCTATATCTGTGGATCCACTGAAAGAATTCTTGTACAGATCCTGACATGTTCAAATATAATAAGAATTCATTGTAATTTTCCTCTAATGTCATGTGATACCATTGGCCATTTTATCCTCCTTTAAGTACCCCTCTTGCTTTGAGATATTTCTAATTCATTCCTTCATTTTTCTCTATTAGCAAACTTCCCATGGCCCAACACCTACTCTCATTTATTAGAAATTTTCTCTTCTTATTCTAACTCCAAAAGCAACCTCGTCTGTGTCTGTGGTTAAACACCCACTCTCTTCCTATGGCTTCTCAATTTTATCTCTACCATTGGCACCTCTCCCTTCTGCTCTCAAGTATGTGAGCCTCGTGTACATTTCTATTTGCTTGTCAAAGTGAACTTTTCCAAATTCAAAAATGAAAATGATTTTCTTTCCACCTCATACTTGTTCCTTTTACACTCTCCTGTCATTATCATTGGATACATGTTAGTGTGACTTAAATGACAATATGTGGGCTTCTCTCTTTTATCTCATGTGTAACATTTAATCCCAACAGCATGTTCTTTAATTTCTACTTGCAAATAAGTATAGAACCTGAACATGTCCCAACATTTTCACAGCTGCAGCTGGAGTGAAAGAGTTCTCCATTTCTCTCTCAAATGATTCAACATCCTGCTTACGGCTTTTTTTTTTTTTTTGCCCTATTTTTGTCTTTCTATTTTCTACATAGCAGTCATTGTTACAGATATGTTAAACTGTCTGAGTTCTCTACTCAAAGCCCTTAGATGTCTTCCCAAAGTCCTTTAGAAAAAAAAAGAGAAAACGTTTATAAAAATCTGTTATTTCCGGCCCCACTCTGCCAGTTTCCTCCTTCCTGACTCAATTCAAGGCACACCAATGCTACAGAATGTTCTCTGATCATGGAAGACATGCTATTGTCCCAGTGTCTGTCTTTCTATTTGTTGACCTATTATCTGAAAAATGCTTTTCCTCAGTGCTCAGCTGTCCCCATTCTTCCTGTCTTTAACTTATGTCACTCACAAGAGGTTCTCCTGATCCTTCTTCTGACTAGCACTCAGCGTGTGTCCCCTGCTGGTTCCTCTTGGCACTTGCCAATCACAGCATATTATCATGTAAACTCAAACGCACATCTGTTCATTTACTCAGCAGCTGTTTCCTACTTGTGCTTAGGCTTCCAGGTTTGAGTACTTTGTCCTCCCTTATTGACTCTCTACTACTGTCCCAGACTGATTTTCTGTAGCAGTGTTTGCCATATGACAGCTTCTCAAGATTTATGGCATACAAGGGTTGATTATCTATATGAGGGTAAACGGCATGTCAATGAGTGGCTGCATTCAATTTGGACATTTTAAGAATAATATGCCAAAAGTAGAAAAGCTACCATTATAATAATACTTACATTATTACTGTTACTATAGGCTCTATACACACTTACAATAACATCATATTTTGCCTTAAAAGTTGCCTGGCTTAAATTAGCTGTAATCATTATCATCCATTTGAATATTAATTAATTAAATATCTTAGTATTACGAATTCCTTTTATTGACAACATTAGAGATTGAACCTATTAAATAAGCATTCTATCAATGAGCTCCATGCATTGTGACAAGAAAATGATTTCACACCAAATAGCACACCAGATAAGATCTGAATATGGGTATAGGTTGAAAGAAAATACAGAAGGGGCTAAAATGATGTGTTTTGTGAATATTGTTCTTATTCTTCAAGAGTTTCTTCTAGGTATCAATAGATCAAGCATTTAAGATTTCATTAAAAGTAGTGACACAGGAAGAGAAAAATAAGTCTATGCTTTAGAAATAAAACAAGAAACAGAAAGGAATTTGGTTACATTTGTTTTCCCAGAATACAATTTATAGTGACCCAACTTTAATTTTAGTGAAAGATGCTGAAAAAAAAGAGTGCTTAGCCCTGCCTTTACTGCTTTCAATATTCATATAAAATTCAAAATTCATAAAAAACTATTTAAAATGCTGAATGATAGATTCATCTTTGCATCATAGAAGGTTAATGGCATTTATTGGTAGCTGAACATTTGTATCTTCTTTCACATATGTATCTTAATAGAAATGATGCAACCCTGGGCTGGAGCAACGACTCCACAGTTCAGAGCCAGTGTGGCCTTGCAGAGGGACATAAGTTAGGCTCTCACCATCTAAGTCAGGTGGCTGATAATCACTTCTAACTAGAGCTGCAGGTGATCTGACATTCTCTTCTGGATTCTGTGGACACCTGCATTCATCTATACATACCCCTCCAATACCTACGTAAGCTAAAAATAAAAATAAACATTAAAAAATAAACAATACAAACCAATTCAGGGGCCTTATGCAGACTCAGCAAATTCCTGATAGTCATTGGGTTAATTTCCTGAGACTCACAATGTGGCAAACATGAGAAAATTATTTAATGATCAACACTTACAGGGAAAGATGCTGACATTGGTAGCAGCTTTTTGTTGAGTAAATATCTGGTTCTGTTTCCTAGAGTATACTATATCAAGACAGTATTGCTGAACACTATCTGGTGCCATTACTATATTATATCATTGAATTGTCATCAAGATTTGTATTGATGAACACAAAGGAGAACAAGAAGAAGCAGCCATGAGAAAGACTATGACAAAGAAAATATAATTATTGTTTTCCATGAAAACATAATCACACCAAGAAGGAATTGTCACTTTCAGATTATAAGGGACATAATGGAGTACCATAGGAAAATGATGGCTCACTGTCATAATGGACTGTGTAGGGCCCATGTCTATGTTTACTCAGTGTTATTTCCATAAAAAGGGCCTTCCTTTGACAAAAAGTTCTGTAAGCAATGAATATGACCAGACACCCTGCCATCTATATGTACTTTTGTGACAAATTGAAGAAACCCAAGATGTGTGCAGATGTAATGTGGAAACCAAGGTCATTTCAAACTTAAGAACAATCTACTTTTCATGGATTTGTGTTCCTGGGCGTTCTTAGTGATGACATAGCCTTGACTCTGCAAGGCTTGGGGAGTCACAGACTGTACCATGGGCAGCACCTCAGCTTCAGACTTACCATGAGAAGAAACTGTGCTCTACACGGTTGCTTATCTCACAGTTTGCTAAGAAGAATGAATATGTTTAATATTGTTTGAGAACAAAATGAAGGAATGAGGGTGAAGAACACTTTGATGAAAGAGGTTGTCTCTAGCTGGTTTGTGTTAGTTCTAGAATTTAAATTGATGAAGGGTTTGGAAATGTAGGCTTTATTGAGAAAAAAGTTTTCTATATCTCAGCAAGAGATAATTAATGTTGCTTTAAGACATCCTCACACTTTTCCATTGAGTTCTTCAACATTGATGATTCCCAGAACATCCCTTGCACCTCTTGACCATTCACCAGTGGGAAGGATGCTATACAAATTGAAAAGCCTCCAAAAAGGGCAAATGCTACCATATTCCCTTCAGATATGAATGCTACCATATTCCCTTCAGGTAGCTCATGAACACATCCATTTACCAGGAGGATACAGAGGAACCTTCCAGGGGAGTTGGCATGACTCCCAGAAAAGAAAATCAGAGTTGCCAGATGCACAAATCAGAACTTAGTTTATCACTTTCACCTCCACTTGGCTGAATTTCATAGCTGTTATTTCCACTGAGTCTTCCCTGCCTCCTTCTGTTTTCAGGATCGTAGTTTTTAGAACAGTTACTCTGTTCCTTTCTGACTCTTTTACACTGGGTCTTTTGTATGGGGAGAGGTAGAAAGCTCTGTGTGCTGATCATTTTACAAAGTATTAGACCTTGCAGAACCTCATCAAGACCTAACTGATCATGGAGATCTATACCTCTTAGAAATCCTGGATTTTAAGCTAGTTTCAGTAATTATAAGCTGGGATGTTCTACATTGTGAAGAAGGTAGGTATTTCTCTCACAACACAAAGAAGGAAAGTCACATTTGGTGACTCAAGGATCTAATAATAGAATAGGTCTTGTTATTGCCTCTGATATGGTCAGTCCTTTCCTTTCTAAGAAACAGAGTGGCTCAATGTTTCCTAGTGCCTTATATGACTGCGGCCACATGCAAAGTGATACTACAAATTCATTGTAGTTTTTGTGAAAGTAAATTCCCTTCCTCT